ACCCACCAAAAGACAGCCTCGACGGCTCGCTGACAAGCGAAAGTAGCTTCACGCTTCTGCTGCCGTCGTCTACCTTCACGGCATCCCCCACCGTGGGCGAGGTGCAGAGGGCTTGCTCCACACCGAGCCTCTACACGCCAGGCACGTCCTCCCCTCCCCTCCCCCCATTCTCCTCCCTGCCCTGCCCTCCTCCCCCTCCCCGTTCCAAAACGCGTTCGAAAGGAAAGAAAAAGAGAAGAAAAAACACGAAAAGAGCCAACTCACCCCCTTCGAGTCCAAATACTCGAAAAACTTCATGTACGCCTCGCTCCGCCACAAATCCAGGTCCGCGATCTCGAAGTTGCTCCAGACTGCACGAGAAACCGGGGTCAGCGTGTGTGTGTGTGGGGGGGGGGGATGGTGGGGCTTGGGCCGGGGTGGTGGTGTCAAAGCGCAGGCACGCGATACGTCTCCGCCGCAGCTGGTGACACTAGCGGCGAGCGCCATCCATCCGCAAGCCTCCGCGCAGACGGCTCACGGTAAGCGGCCACATCCCCGGCCTCCGCCCACAACAGATGCAAAAAAAAACTCACAATGGCAATTATTATAACTGTTCCCCCCGTCGTCGCTCAGGAAGCCCATCGCGTTGTCCGGCGAGATGAGGTCTGGGTTTGCGGCTATGAATTCTACGTTTGGGAGGAGGGAGGTTAGTGGGGTGTGGGATGAGGCGGAGGAAATGAAGAAAAAGGCAAGGGGGAAGACGAAGAAAGAGGTGGACACAAAGCAGAAAGAGGCAACGCGAAGGGACGAGAGAAGGGCATTGAGACCGTGTGGCCTCGAGCTTCTCGATTCAGGTATAGCGCCGACGGGCACCTTTGGGCGACGACAGTGGTAGTGCTGCACCACGGCCGCACCCTGGATCGTCGTCGCGCCTAAGATAGCGCCGAGCACCGAAAATCCCCACGATCGTCGCCACCTCCCCTGCGAACGCGCCACGCAACTAGTAACGTCTCCATGGCATCGGGGAAACACATCTCGGTCCTCCAGCGCTGAGCGCCACGCCACAATCCCGCCGATCGAAGGCCGAGCGCCAGCGTCTTTAACGCCCATCCTGCGTCCACGCGGACGCCACAACGACGGAGAGCGCCAGCATGGGTGGACGTGCGTCTTCAGAGAACACGCCCCGAGGCCAGTCATCGCCCGCCAGCGCCCACAGCTCAGCAAACGCCCCGCGCGCAAAGAACAAGCCCGCGCACGTCTGTATACCGACGCGCCTCTTCAGAGAGTACACCCCAAGGCCATCGACCGCCAGCGCGCTCAGCTCAGCGAACGCCCCGCGCAAAGAACAAGCCCGCGCACGTCTACACACGACGCGCCTCCTCCGAAGTACGAGAGTGGCTGCTGTCTAGGTAGGGATGGGGAGTCCAGCATCGGCGCGCGTCCTCAGAGCGTACGCCTCAAGGCCAGCATAAGCGCCAGCGCCCACAGCTCAGCGAACGACTACGCGCGCACGCCCACCGTGCCCAAAAGACGGACGCGACGCCTACTCGGCGCGTCCGGCATCCCACCACGCCCCGCCCCGCACGCACCTCATCACCCCCTATGCCATCCGTCTCACAGGGCCCCCAGAAACAGACAGACGCCCGTCCCTCTTCGCGGACCACGCACGCCGTCTCTCCTCGCCGACGCGGATCAGACTCGGCGCGTCCGCGCACAAGCGCTGAACGCGGAGCAATTGCAAAAAAAAAACGGGCGGGAAAATAAAATAAAATAAAATAAAAAGGGAGGGAATGAATAAAATAAAATAAAATGAAGAATAAAGAAGGAAGAAAAAAAACGCACCCTTGACAGTCTCCCACAGCGTCGGGATCGTGCGCTCGTACTCGGGGAGCGAGATGGTGAAGCCTGTTGGTTAGCGTGAGTTTGGGTTTTGGCAAGTAAGCGGGTAAGAGAGAGATGGGAGGGGAAGGGCACTCACCATACTTCTTCCCCTCGTCCTGCATGAACAGGAACGGGTCGTAGTCGAGGTTGCAGAAGAACTTGACGTCGGGCTCGACTCTGTTGTTGTGCAAACGAGTGTGAGTATGTATAAAGGAGGGAGGGAGTATGAGTCAAGGAGAGGGAGAACGGAAAATGAGAGAAGAGAGGCGATGTCGCCACCCCCAGGCCGCGAGCACGACGAACGGCAGCGCGTCACAGCGGGATCGTTCGTGAGCCACCACCAGGATCGTCGTGATGGTGCGTGCCGCCGCCTATGCGACGCGCCAGCATCGACGACGCAACGCGACGACATGGAAGATGCGCTCACTGCCGCAGGTCCGCCCCGATGTACCAGCCAACTATGATGCGCTGGCATCCACAGCCGGCGTGTGATACGCAATGGCTCGTCGCCACAGGGGAGCGGACTCCGTGCCTCGAAGGAGAAGAACGGACTCCGTTCCTCGAAGGGGAGCGCACCCCGCGAGCTCATCATCACCGTTGGACGATCGACGTGATGCCCTCGTACCCATGGCAGGTAGCCTTGCTGCAAAATCGCCTCCGACGCAAGCCAGCACCTCATCGACGATGCCGACGACTACGCGCACCGCCGCCGACGATGAGCGCGAGACGCAGCCTGCCGCCTTGACTCGACCCCTCGCGCGCTCACACGTCACTGTCGACGAGGAGGACAACTGTCGTGCGACGATGCTCTCCCGCCCACGGACGACTGCGCCGCGATTCGCGCTCGGCCCACGATGCGAGGCTAACAATGAGCATGACACGCAGTCGCCCGCCCCAACCACCCAGGCGCCGCCACGCGCAAGGTTCCGGGCTCGGCCTCTTCCTCACAGACCCCCATCCAAAAAAAGGAACGCGACACGCTTTTCACTAATAAAAGAAAGCCTCCCCCAAAGAGCCCCACAAACGAAACGAAGGTTTTTTCTTTGAAAAAAAAATCCCCGGAAAGAAATACGACAAACACCCGCTCGCGAAAAAAAAAAAAAAAAAGGCGAAAGAAAGAAATAAAGAGAAAGACGCACCGCCAGTAATACCGGTACTTGTCGAGCAGGGGGTGGCGGAAGAAGAAGCCCGAGTTGAAGCGGCACATGTTGCGGTAGGGGACGCTGTGCGAGCGTAGCGGGCGTTGGGTGAGCGGGGGCGGACATTGGCGGCCGGACATTTGCGTGGGTAGGGCGAGGTAGCGAGGTGACGAGGTGGGGATAGAACAAGCAGGGAAACAAGCGGGTATTGCGAGGAAAGGAAAAGAGAGACAAAAGAAGAACGAGAAAAGAGGAACGTCAGTATTCGAGTCGGACGGAAGGAATGCCAACGCACCTCCCGCCGTAGATGACTTTATTTTCCTCCATGTCCTTGCGCGAGGCGGCCGCGCGGGCTTCGTCGATGGAGGAGGGCTGAGGGTGGTGTCAGCGTTAGTAGCATAGTAGTAGAAAGCGGAAGAAGGCGGGTACCTGGACCCAATGGTCGCGCGGGATGAGGCCAAACTCGACCTTGGCCGCCGTGAGGCCGCCGATTTTCCTAGGGTGCATAAGGAACGACAAGACGGAGAAGAGAGCAAAACGCACCACTTGAACTGGTCCGAGAACGGCTCCTCGTTGAGGAAGACATACGGGTACCGGAACCTGTGGTTCCACTTCTCCTCCAGCTGCTTTAGGCTGCGCTCCACGCCGTCCATGTCCCCGTTGCGCGCTTGCCCACAAGATGAGTAAATACAAAAATATTCAAGTGTAGAAGGAAGAGATACTCACCGAGCACGACAATAACCGCATTCGCCCTGCGCATTGGCTGCCCGTCTGCACCCGTCCCATTATCCCGCATATAGTACTTGTCGGGTACAGGCGTCTTGTAAGGCGGCTGATGAAAGACCTTGACTGCGTTCTCCGGGCGCGGGCCCCCGAAGCGAAATTGGTTGCGGATGGCGTCGAGCGAGGTCGCCTGGCCGTAGCCCTCGTGCGATAACGTCAGAATGTAGTGTAAAGAGATTATTATCGCCAGAGCGAGCACGACGTATCGCGTGCGGGTCATCATTTTGGGCGGCGGCGACGAGGTGAACTTGAAGCCTCAGGAAGGGGGACGATGAGAGATTTTGCCAACACTGGCGTGTCGGTACCTGTTTGTTTGCAATGATGATGGATGCGGCTGTGCTGATGGGTCATCTCAGCTCCGTTTGTTCAGGATTCCGAGTCTTGGCTACTGCGGAGTTGGGTAAACGTGGACAACTGAGACCCACAACTTCGGGCTGCAGCCAAGAGACGCGGAGTATTTTTTCTGGGTCACGATATTATTCAAGGTCAAAAAGTACGCGTTCCCTGCTATAAATAAGCACTTTATTATTAGCTCACAACATACTGCGCACATATTATTAGCGCACCACAGATCAACGTCATTTTTCGCGCGGTTAATCGTGTCAAATTTCAGTCGCAAGTATATTCAGGCGAGAAAAAAAAAGAAAAAAAACATAATACACATGGCTCAGGCTCGACTCGAACGAGCAACTTCTACATACTATGTGAAGACAAAGACATATAATGTAGATGCACACCACTGTGCCTCTGGGCCTTTCATTCCATAAAATGAACTCGACTAGGTGCATTCGGAATTTGATTAAAAAATGTGTCTCACACACAGCAGAAAGTCATAGAGACCAGTTGCGAGCAAAGCACGATGACCGAATTGTATGTATCTACCAAGCCTTTCACTGGATACAAGGCTTGTGTGAATCCGATCAGGGAGAGGAGTGAAAATAACTTAAGAGGAAAAAAACCCACTGGTCACAAAGACATTTATAATAGCCCAGGCTCGAGTCGAACGAGCAGCTTCTACATCTGCACGCGCAAAATCCATTGGTATCGACTGTAGACGCACACCACTGTGCCTCTGGGCCTTTTTGGGTCCCAAATGAACTCGAATAGGTGCGTCAGAAATTGGACTAAAGAATTGCGTCGAACAAACTCTCATCAGTTGCAAGCTTAGCTAATTTTGAAGCCGACCGGAGGCAGGAATAGAAATAAAAATAAAAATGATGGCCCAGGCTTGAATCGAACAAGCTCCTCCCGCATCAATATTGCCATATTATCCTGAGTACTGAATGCAGACGCACACCACTGTGCCTCTGGGCCATTCATTCCTATAAAACGAACTCAACTAGATGCGTCAGGAATTTGGTTCAAAAGCTGTGTCAAGCCTCAATTACTGTTGCAATTTGTCAATGCAAATCTCAATTACACCGAATTGTATTTCCGTCGACGAGATGAAGTCAGGTAAGTTTGTGTGAATCAGACAAGATCCGGGAGTAAAAAGAAACGAAATAGTAGCATGCAATGGCCCAGGCTCGAATCGAACGAGCAACTTCTACATATGGAAGACAAGTGAAGACCTCATAGAATGTAGATGCACACCACTGTGCCTCTGGGCTTTTCATTCCCATAAAATGAACTCAACTATGTAAGTGCATTCGGAATTCGATTCAAAAATTGTGCCACTGGACCTTTCGTAGTATAAAACTCACTGATACTCTGGGGTATTCAGAATTTGATTCAATATTTTCCCAATTCCAGTTTAAATTGCAATTTGTCAATTACCAAATTTCAAATATTGAACTGTGCCTCCAGAGCTTTCCGCTTCCTATTGCAAGTCCAGCCAGGTTAGCTCATATCCCACAACAAGAGTAAATGGAATAAAAATGTTGGCCCAGGCTCGAGTTGAACGAGCTCTTCTACAGGAATCAAGCCAATATGCGGACGCATACCACTGTGCTGCTGGGCCTTTCTGAGTGTAAAATGAACCCTGGTAAATGCGGAGTTCAAGGATGCTCTTGCCGCTCTCCGCATCAGAAATTTAATTTCTCTTGCAAATCTCCCATATAAAGCGGACTCTCTGCCTTGCCTGGTATCCCAGAAATCAACCATATCATACATCTAGCTGCCTTGTATCTGTGTCTAAAATTGTCTGCACATCGGATTGAACACGAGAAAATTAATAAAACAGGGTTGGCCCAGGCTCGAGTCGAACAAGCTTGTTCTACAGTGCATGTTCTGACCAGCGTTACACAGAATGCAGACGCACACCACTGTGCTTCTGGGCCTTTCATTGCTATGGAATGAACTCGACTATGCGCGTTGCGAATTTGACTCAAAACTTGTGTCAAGCCTCAGTTACTGTTGCAATTTGTCAATGCAAGTCTCAATTACACCGCATTGGTTTCATCCGATAAGATTAAGTTGGGTAGGTTCATGGGGGGTCCGGCCAGATTCAGGGAAAAAATCCTCAGCACAGAACAATCGCCCAGGCTCGAGTCGAATGAGCATCTTCTACATATTGAACACAACGACCTCCCTTCTATAGAATGTAGACGCGCACCACTGTGCCTCTGGGCCTTTCATTCCATAAAATGAACTTGACTAGGTGCGTCAGGAATTGGATTAAAAAGTGTGTCTCAGAAGCAGCAGAAATTATCGATGACCGACTTGTATGGAGTTCCAAGCCTTTCACTGAGTAAAAATAAAGGGAAAAAACTGCATGTCTGCTGAGCTGCACTTCAATCTATTGATGGAATGTAGATGCACACCCTGTGCCTCAGGCCCTTTCTGGGTGTAAAAAGAACTTGAGTTTGTGCGGCTGGAATTTAGTTCAAAATTCTGTCCAACAAGCTCTCAATTATTGTTGCAATTACTAGTAAATCTCAGTTACACTGAATTGTATCTCCGTCGATGAGATGAAGTCAGGTAGGTTTCCGTGACTCCGACAAGATCCAGGAGTAAAAAAAACGGAAAGTTAGCATGCAATGGCCCAGGCTCGAGTCGAACGAGCATCTTCTACATATGGAACGCGTGAAAACTTCATAGAATGTAGATGCACGCTACTATGCTGCTGGGCCTTTCTGGGTCTAAAAAGAACTCGACTAGGTGCGATTATCCGCAGAATGTAGACACACACCACTGTGCCTTTGGGCCTTTCTGACTGTGTCGAACAACCTCTTAATTATTTTTACAATTTGTTAATGCAAATCAATGACATACCGAATTAGGTTTCCGTTGATGAGAGGCAGCCAGGCAGGTCTGTATGAATTCGACCAGGGACAAGAGTAAAATAATCATAAAAAGTTTGGACAACCTAATCATGGCCTAGACTCGAGTTGAACGAGCACCTCCTACAACAATTGATCTCACTTGAGTGAATATAGGTGCACATCACTGCGCCTCTGGGCCTTCACCGGAATAAAGTGAACTGAGCCATACCTAGCTTTATTCCCCCGATAAAATTTAGGCGGTTCAAAATTTCACAGAGGGCAGAGCCACAGTTTCCAACATGAGTTGTGAAAGCAAAAGGAAGGAAAAAAAGAATGGCCCAGGCTCGAGTCGAACGAGCTTGTTCTACACATTGAAAACGATGCCCCAAAAAATGTACACGCACACCATTGTGCCTCGGGCCTTTCTATCGCTAATCATAACCGAGGTAGATGCATTCGAACTATGAACGGAATCCCCACATCCTCACTTCCTACCAGCCATCAAAATAAAACAACAAGATCGCCAAGATCCGAAGTACAGTGGTCCAGGCCCGAATCGAACATCAATTCAGGCAGATGCCACGCAACTGTGATAGGTAATTTTCGGAATAAAAATAGATGTTGGCTTACCTTTAAGGAGGTCTGAAATTCACGTAGTATATCAATCTAGAAAGTCGGTGAACGCATGCGGAAACCCTAAGGCCCTTCCTTGATTCAGCTAATAGCTACAGACCACGCTGTTGGAAGACGAGTTGCATGTGCGCGCACTGCCTCATTGTGGTGCACTTTGCTACCAGGTCCCCGCCATTCATTCCTTCCTTCATTCCTGCTTTCCTGCTGCTGCCCGTTATTGTATCCGAGACTAAATTCGTACATTTAATTATTCTAGAATAGTATTTAAGTACTGTAGATAACAAAAGATTCCCCGCGCGTTTGCACCGGGTACTGCTAATATTGGATTGCTCCATTGATTCCAACACACGCTGTATTATTTTCCGCGGTGAATGCTGTTAAATATTCAAGGATCCGTACAGCTGCAGTTGACGTTTAGTTTACCGTATTTACTTATTCGTTACAGTGATCGAGACTGAGTTTAAATTTTGCAACACAAACCCTTGTCCTAACTGTCCTCAAGGTAGCAGCCTGAGTGTTCGAGCGCAACCACTGCGTTCAAGGCCCAGGTAGCATGGGCCCATGGCGAGCCGCCTAGCCGGGAAGTAGCCGGTGTCAAATGTCGAGGTGACGCTAGCCACCTCGACGAAGTCCGTCTAGCCTTGGCTAGCCGTCTAGCCAGAGCTAGCCAAGAACTTCGTCTCACCGGCATATTTAGCCATGTCTCATCGCATTCAGAAGATAGGAGTACTATAGCCATGTCAAAGTTCGCCGAATGGGCCGTCAGTGTGGGTCCATCTTTGTTTATTTGTCTGTTTGTTTGTCCCAGATCAAGTGGCAGTGTGACGCGATTCGAATAGACTCGTGAACCAGTCGACACTAGCGATTTCATGACTGGTGGGATGGCCGGCAAGCGGCAAGGCACAAACCAAACTTGAAGAAATGCAATGCTCCATACAGTACATGGGGGGCTAATGTCAGAACTGCTCCCTGGTCAAATCAGTGTACCAGCTCAGCAGATCTTTAGCACATCGAAGAGTCTGCATTGCCAGCGATTTGAGCCTCTTCTCCTCGGCTCTGATCTCCTCTGGCACGCATGTCGATATTTACTTTGGATCAATGTTGCCCAGGATTGCAAGGCCCCTTGGCTCTCCATCATCACATTTTATCCGCGACAGCATCACATATGCCGCTGCTGTGCTGGTGCAACTGGACAAATGGATGACTCCTGTATCAAGAGAGCGGCTCTGGGAGCTGTGAGCAGTGCAGCTGAAGCCGCCAATAATGGGAACTTGGTGCCGCCGGGCGCTGTAAACAACTTCACTGAACCACCTTTTGTACGTGATGTTGTCGGGTGCAGGCCCAGCGTCAGACGATGCGGATGTTCTGTGTTGGGCTCAAACGAGGTGTAAGCGGGAATTTCCACATCGACAGAGATTGCGTAGCGGCATCCACCCCGTATTTCGTATCTCACTCCGATGAGGGTTCCACCAATGTCTTTTGAAATGCCCAGTTCGACGGCGATGCCACAACGAAGATTGGCATACCCACAAGGAGCGGGAGGCGTCCACTGATATCATTTGTGTTTGGAGGACGAGGTGGTATTCCCAGAAACGCGAGCGCATATTTATGCAAGAGTATGGGAGTAAAAAGATAGATCACCTTTTCAAATTACAGGGGTAACTAGCTACCAACCCTCGGAAATAGCCAGGGGTTTTGCGAAGCAATCGATGAATTCAGTTGATGGCGTGGCAGAAGTTGGAAGAGGGCATCGACATTTGCAGGATGGAGTGGACTAAGCGGCAAGGGCGGGACGGGAGATGAAGAGCATGAGAGCGCGACGGTAGTGCAGGGATGACGGGAGTGTGGCCAAGCTTCGGTGTGGGAGATAAGGTACTAGAGAGCGAGAGCGCTGGGATAAGGGCCAGACACCGAAGACTGGAAGATTATTATAAGGTAAGTAGGTTCAGAGCAAAAGAAGGATGCACGTGAGCGTACGGACGATGCCGAGGATTACATAATGACTTTTCGTCGGACAAAGTTGACCACGCTAAGACACAAAGCTATCAAACAAGTTTGGTTTGTGAACATTCCGAATCTGGACCGCAACCAAACAGAGCCAATAAACAACCAAACTCAGGCAACATCAAGCAAACAGGAACAATGACAACGATCAATCGCTAGCGGACTGGGCCGTCTCGGAAGGATTTTTTCCCCGCCATTTAAAGCGCTCGGCTTCGTCAAAATTTCATGAAAACTGTGATTTTTGGACCCCTGATGTAACATGAATATTTTTCGATTCTCTATCAAATGAGCCCATCATGTTTTTTGGCTAAATTTTGAGGTCATCGTCGTCAACAGCAATGACAACAATGACAGTACTTCAACTAAGGAGATTCAGAGCCGCTCAGATCATAGCCATCCTCATCATAATCCCTTCCCGAGCCATATCCACCGTCGAGGGGTCAACCAGCATTCTCTATACCTTTTTTTTTCAAA